TAAAAAAAAAAAAAAAGACTTCATTCAGTACAGTATTTAGATTTGAATTTCCTATTAACTTAAACTTGATAAGATAATCATTTAAAATGCACAGAAATTTTAAAAGAAATTTTTAAGTGTCAAGTCAAAATCAAACCAACACGATTACTATGCCCCCCCCCAAAATGATCAAAGTGGGAAAGTGAACAAACTAAAACTATCTGCGTATTTCTTCAAGAAGCTACCTCTCCTGTCCCTCCCAGCAGAAAACAACAACTTAAAGAAATTCAGGGGTTATTTTTCTTTCCCGTTAAGAGAAGGCTGCAGGAGGGCAGGTGAGGTGTAGATGAGTGGTCAGGAAACAAACATTTCATCTCTTGTTGAAGAATGTCACTGAGGCACACTACATGGGCACTACTCCACACCTGGCTGGCTTCTCATTCAGCCACATCTTGTCAATATTATTGACATCTCTAGTGAAGGGCTGCCTCTTCTAGTACCTTCCACACTGATCTTATCTAATCCTCCTAATACCTCCCTGAATTAAGTATCATTACCTCATTTTCCTGGTAAAATACCAAAGTATTTAGTGATACTGTATGAACCTTGAGATAAGTTTGTGGCTTCCCATTCATCCACCCAAGAAGTGACTGTTAAATACTTACTATATTCACTGTGTCACATTAGATGCGGAGAAAAATTAGGGGATGCAGGAGAGGGAAAGATACTTAGAAACTTATTCTCTTATGGATAGAAAAATACAACTAGAGACTCTGGTAACATGTCTCAGGATATACCAAGGCAGCACGTTTGTTTACTGGCAGCAAGGAAGGAGTGGTGCTAATACTTGAAGCAGACTGCCTACTAGCGAGAGGATGCTGGGATTTACACTCAAATTATATCAAAGGCTTAGAAATGCCTGGGCAGAAGGCAAGACTTACTATCTGTATTAACAATTCTCATAAATCTCTTCCTCCGGTAACTACAGTAGCCCCATCAGTAACTCCAGTCTACCCTCCTCCAAGGATTGAGAGTGATCCTTAAACACCAATCACATGATGCCACACCCCACTTGGTACTCTAAAGGATTCCTAATGGATTTAGGAAAAAATGCAAATTTTTAACAGAGGCCAAAAAAGCCTATCTACCTCTAAAATCTTAGCTTGTACCACTACTCCCCTTATTCACCACCCTTCAAACATGTTCTCTTTCTTCATGAATTTGACGGAAGCATGTCACACGATCTTTGTCCACATGTGTTCTTGGAAAGTCATGCCCCACCC